AACTCAGTCAACCCTTCCTCCGAGGAGTTTTTGTTAAAACATCTTAATTAACTGTTAATCTTGATAGCAAACATGGGGGGCAGGGGGGAGCTGACTGTGATGGTCGTATCGCTCCCCAGTCTATACCGAATAACTGTGTGTTTTGTATATGATTTTTATTGATTCAATGCTTGTATTCTGGTTGACAAAATAAATCTCCCTCTCGTATTCAGTCATGTTTTTTTACCTAGTTACGAGACCGGTATTGTACCATTATAGGTTGGAGATATTCATCTTTTTTGTATACCGGTACCGTACAACTTGTCCTGCCTATTGGCAAGATGGCCAACATTTTTATTCGTAGGCCTATTTCAGTATTTACTAAATAATTTAGTTTTCACCTCTTGCAGCCTTGGTACGGTACCGGTAGTTTAAATAACACGTCAGCATGCCTAAAGTAAATGATTGCTAGCTGTACAGGTATAAATGCGTAAAACCAGTAAACAAACGTGATAGAAATGGTACGGGTTATAGATTGTCAATGTTAAACGCTTCCAGTACCGGACGGACACGGACCCAAAGCGACATTAGGGCCGCATCTGCAGCGCATATCCCACAGAGCAAGGCGCGTTGGCAGAATCTCATGGTCTAGTGAGAATGACGTCATCGGAAACACCGCGCTCATTAAAATTTCAATGAACGATTATCAAAAATCTTGACCATGTTTATCATGATAAAAATATCAAAAGATATGTAAAAAATATTCTATCCTCAAAACTGCTCACGTATACAATGAAAGATATCTAGAAAATTACAAAAATGCAAATTTCTGCTCTGGTGATCACATTTCCCATAAGAGCTAATGTTAAGAAAATTTTTTTTACATCACTTTTATATTTTGCGCGTAGGATGGGTTTTCAATGAATAAGGTCTATTTCGAAGACGTCATCACACAGAAATTTGAAGTGAAAAACAAATTCCATAAAGCACACAGAATTTTTTTAACTAAGTAAAAGTAAAAGCCTTATACGACAACACCAATTATAAACCACCGGGAGTTTCGAGGCATTTGACTCCGTATTTAAACAGAAAAGCGATTTTTTAAATAATAACAACCAGAAAATGCAAAATGACAACGTTACCGGAAAAACTAAAGGCATTTGCGGCCACCCTGATATTTCCTCGCGGACCCTAGTTTGAGAACAACTGGTCACTCTAACCAAACTTTCCGTTCATCGGTAGACTTCTGACAAAGCTCAATATATAAACATTACGTGATAAAAAATATTTTGAGCCAGATCAGATGTTATGGGATGGCCAACATGGCACTTTGAATTTTGGTCCAAATACCTTTTTTTGTGTCAAAATTCTGTTAAATGACATACCGCACGAGACTGAAAATTGATTGTTTGCCTGATTCCTTAAATGTTGATGTTTTTTCCATTGACTTGGTTACTGATAAATTGCTTTCCCATTTGGATTGACAAGAGCAGGCAAACTAAACCGGAATGTCGAGTGCCATAGCAAAACTGAAGTTACCGGCATAAATCCCATCCTAATATTCAAGCGTTTCGTCTCATCTTCCAAAAAGAGTTGTGTCTCCGGCATTACATTGTTATTGGACTTCGATATTTTCGTTCCAGGAAAGACAGCAATGCTCATATACGTGTAAGCAAAAAGCAAGCAGTTTATTTTTTCACATACCTAAAACACAAAGTAGGTGGAGTGAAGAAAAATAAAAGAAAGATGCATTTCAGCTACTTTTAATGATAATTTGGCAATTCATCGTCATGTAATGCTAAATTCACTCAATAAGGCATTTATTTGGTTCGTGCGACGCCAAATTTAATGTGCCAAACTTTTGTTCTATGTACCTGGATATTGGTATGGCCTCCCTAGAGGCGAGAAACTTGGCCGTTGGTGTACTCAGTGGTGGGATTTATATTTTTTGTCAGTCGGTTCTATCACAAAAGTCATATTTTTCAGCCGGTTCTGTTACAAACAGAACATTGACAGTAACCAGTAATGCTAACCGGTTCGCTGGTCTCATAAAATTCCGTGAGACGGTTCTAAAGAACCGGTTGAATCCCACCAATGGGTATGTATACTCTATACCAGGGTTGTCCAACCTTAATGGTCAAAAGGCCACATGTAGTATGCGAATGATTGCGCGGGCCACTGGACATGGTAGCTATATATGAAAAAACAAACGAAACCCCTCGCACTAAATTTATAAGAACAATGAACATACGAAGATACAGTATAGTCAAGAGTTTTTACCACACATAGATATTTCATGTGCAACCAGGGGCGTGCCAAACTCTTCTGCTGCTCGGGGCGAGTTTCTGAGGTGACCGTACATTTGAACCCATGTACATTTGAACCCATGCGTATATCCACGGGTTCAATCTATATGCGGGTGCTAAAACCCATGGGTTAGGGTTAGTATGGGTTTAACTATCCGTGAAACAAAAAAAATTCCATAGGTGCAATAGCATACAGATGCAATTGTCATGGGTTCAAATGTACGTGGGTTCAAATGTAATGGAACCAGTTTCTGATAATGCTGCCCCTTATACCTAACCTTAAAAATAATTCGTGCAATGAACAAATTATAGATGTTGTTATGCACGAGAATAAATAAATTAAAGGCTAATTAAGTAGAATGAAAACGTTTGTTAAATCATCAACCTAAGCAACAAATTCACATTTACAAGATCGAACTCATTTATTAGCAAAACACAAGTCACCCTGGACCTTTCCCCGACCTTTGACTATCGAAAATTCTTCCTATACTTTACCATTGCAAAATTTTTGGGGCTATTTTAAGAGTGCTTCTGCGAGTTGGCGCCTATAAAATGGGGTATGTGTTTCAAACCATTATTATGATTCATCGCATACAACAATCTGTTTTTATAAGTACCGGTAAAAAATTTTAGCCTAGTCTATCACATCTATTTTTACACTAATTTTTCATTACTGCAATTAATTTAAAACTCCTAGGAAGACAGAGTGATCATTGAATTGTCTGATTTATATTCAAGTTTCCGAAACACAACTGAAAACTAACGAATAAAGTTCTAAATCGCGAAAACGAGGTAATGTTTACGACCACGCTTAAAAATCTGTCTGAGTGAGAAAAGTGTCTGAGCGGATGCGAAAAGGGGGCATTGTTACGTCACTTTTTGCATCTTGCTGATTGGCCAATGTCTCGAAGTATACAAGGAAGTCGATACTCGGGGACAGGTCCATCGCTACTTTGCTATCAACAAATGTCTGAACGACCGCCTTTTCCCCCTCGTCCGTCAAGAATTTCTTTTGTGTAATAACGCAAACTACAACCCGGTTCTGCCACTCGGACACCTTCGGTGGCCACATGTGGCCCGCGGGCCACGGGTTGGACGGCCCTGCTCTATACAGTACACGGAGTACAGTATCTATGAGAAGGAAGACGGCTCTCTGCTGCTCGATTCTTCTGTTTTAACTTACTTTCATTCATAAGTAACCCAAATAACTGGTATCTTTGAATACCTGCGCGCCAACCTATTTCGTTCCGATCATTTTTATATTTTTGCATAGTTTTTGAAATACACATTTGATATTTGGCAAATTCCGTTATTTAAAAACGAACGATATACCATAGGTTTTCTTTGATGATATGAAATACATGTAAATATTGTATATGGTAAACAAACATGAGAGGTATTCATATATTGACACCGAACCTGTTATTTTCATGCTTATTTAATTTAATTTATGGCAACTGACTCAGGTGACTCCTAAAGGTCGAATCGTTGCTTCCCAGCCATGTACCAAAAGCATCTGTTAACTTATATACCATGTTTCCCGAAAATAAGACAAGATTATATTTCAATTTTCTTTTTTATAATCCTAGGGCTTACTTTAGGGAGATGTCTTTTATTTTCATTTATCAAAGACAAAATTACAAAGTAGAGAATTATGAGTTTTTCAAATATACAAATTATGAAAATCGATATCCAGTTGCTTATAAATAACACTCTTTTGTTAAAAAAAACTTCTAAACATAGATTATTCATGATTAGATACTGGATAGATATATTCGTGATTAAATTAATCATTTGAAACGTGTGGGAAAGATTTCGCGCAATCAACTAGTTCTTATTTTAATGGGAGGGCTTATATTAAAATCATTTTCGAAATTCAGGCGATTTTTGCGGTTGTCTAATCTAACGCATAAACCAAAAAAAAACAAGAACTGGTTGTCTGATTATCACGACACTCCAAAACGGGTTCGCAGCCCAAATGCCTGCGATGTTCGTTTTAGTTTTGTCCCGTTTTTTTTTCTGTGAAATTAATTTGAAAAGAGGAAAAGATATCTTGTTTGAAATGTGTTAGTCACAATCTCTAAGTATCTGCACTTACACAGATGATATGTGGGGGCTCAAGTTGTAAATGTGAAAGTACCTGCATTCTATATTCGTAATTCGTATCCCGATCATTGGGGAATAGTTCTCTTTATTGGCACGGCCCGCGACTGTGTCAATGTTAGGATGGGGAATACCCTGGGAGTTATTGGCCAATGTGCCAATGAAACTTCCAGCGACTTTCAACTCATCCCTTTTTATTTACCACGAAAAAATGTTGTGAATATACTCGTTACATACCGAAGTACATTCTAAATTAGTCAAATTTTTTCCATGCTGCTTGTCTCAATCGTTCAAAGACGCACGATTCACCCTTCTGAAACAAAAATTACGGTAGCTATAAACTTCCTGATCAAGCTGGTTTACGCGCGTGTTCACTAGTCAGGTTGCTTTTAATATTAAAAATCGATGACATGTAATTCAATTTTTAGTGATAGCATAGGGTTTGGAAATTGTATAGACTTATCACAATCTACAAACAAGAACGCAATATAGATATCTAGCTAATGTGTACCGTCAAAAAATCGTAATCGATAATAATTTATTTAGCTCATCGTCTACTTGCGGCGTCTCACCACACCCCCGAGGACGAGACCTGAAACGAATAAAATCGTATATTAAATCCCCGACATAGCGGTTCATTCTACTTGACTGTTGGTTGTCTTCTGTCGAAGCGGTAATCGTCCGCCTTTATTTTGCTTGCACCTGCTGCATATGATTCAATGTCGATTAGATCTAGTTTGCGCGGGGCGGGATATCTACAAATAGGCACAAATGATGGACATGGAGTTAGAGAACATAGTGGCCAATACGGTCTACTTGAAAGCACGAGAAGGTACGTGATTACTGTATTATTTTGTATTATTATTTCAGTTTATGCCTGCACCCGTCTGACGGTATTGTTGGACTTCCGCAATTCCGGGTCGACTATCCCTGTGCCTCTGCAAAAATGAAAATTGACAGAATCGAATTGTAATCTGTTCCGATAGTTCTCTTCTAAACACGAAAATGCTTAAATTTTAGTGCTTTCTGCTGTGCAGCTGTACCGGTATTTTCTTTATAATCCAGTAATCAGATACTGACATTGTTTTCTGGGTTAGTACCACAATGTCTGAATGCTGGAATGTCATCAGTAAAGCTGCAAAATATTAATACAGTAATAGCCTATCTGAGTATTAAATTTAATTCGTAAGAATTTGCATGATTGCATAGTCTGATAGTCAGTACTGCAGTGCATCTGTATCTCTGTATCTACAAATCTTTTTATACCCAATAAATGCATATGACTACGGCATCTATTCCAACTTATTTTACCGGTGCCATGGATTTTGCATCTGAGCTATTTTTGATGTTTCACTGTTTGATGATGCTGTTGATGTATTGAAAAGAAAACATGATAAAATTTTAGTAGTCTGGTAGTTGCCTCTTTCGTGAGTCGGTGAGTTTGCACATCTAGTCTGATATAAATCTTCACAGCCACCATTTTGTCCTAAAACGCTCAAACAACTGCTATAAAATGTACTTGAAGCTCATATTGAATGCTTAGTCTATTCCATTTCTTGAAAGATTTTTTTGATTACTGCAATCTGACTAAGACACCTGAGGACAAATTCACGAAAACACAACCATTATGTACTTTCATCTGTACAAAATGCATTCGAATTTTAAAATACACACATGACATCTGATAACTTGAAATGCATCTCAACTTTCCGAAGGGCAAATCTTTTCTCCGACTTGACTTTATCGCTGCTTGATTTGGCGCCCTTATTGAAAAACCGCTTTTGACCAATCGTTGACCCGGTGAAGTTAACAATAATTACCTGAACAACAAAACTTGGGTCATGTGTCAGACTTCATAAATACAATATGTTAATATAACAAAGTATTTCATGAAATATGTTAATTTATAGAATATACAAAACATTTGAAAGGTCAATCTCATTATAGGTTTTTATTAAATGGAAATTGCACACATTTTTCCTTTGGCCTTTTTTAAATCACTGCTCCCAATATAATGATTACATATAAAGATTTCGTTTCCATTATTAGCAGGAAACTATTTGTTGCACATCTTGGTGTGTTGCATGGTTTCTTGAAAAACGAACAATAGCCATATTGTTATATGATATCAATTCAAGCATTGATTCAATTATCTTAACTGTTCAAAGGTTACTAAATGGGGCACTAACTGCTCTATTTTTACTAAATGGATCACTAACTTCCCTATCAAAAAACTTTGCAAATAACTTTTATACAGGGATGGCAAAGACCAAATAATTTAGTATTCCGAATACCTCATAAAATAATCTTTTTTAACATAAAAAATCGAAAATATTCTGAAATGGGTCTGTTCCACGAGAGAAATACACTCAGACAATTGTAAATTCGTATAAATCAAATTCAGTCACATGGAATAATTGTGATAAACATTGTTTTAATTACTATTCTCTTATTTCTCTCTTCTATTTTTTCGGAACTTGCTAATTTTTTTTATTTTTATCTATCATAAGATAATAAAAGATTATGGAGACATTTTAAAATAAAAGTATTCTAAATTATTCCTAAAATCAGAAATTTATTATATTGAATAGAACCATTTTTCAAATGTTTTCAATTTGTTTTGGACATTCCCGCTTTCACGATTCATATCAAGCATTTTTATACCTTGAACTGAGGCTTAATAATATTGGCTGAAAGATTATATTATAGTACAAAATTTTAAAAATATTTTGTATTAATGTACTTGGGATGGTTTACTTAATTAAATCATATACTATTTGTTCAGGTGTAAATATCTGTTATCTCCATTAGGTTAATATGACACACATAATGCTTGAATTTGCACCAAGCTGAAAAATATCATAATTCATATTCAATTGATGTTCAATAAAATTATAGTATTATAAAAAGGAATAAGCTTGCATTTGTTCCTTTTCTGAAATTTTCACTGTTAGTTTTATTTGCCAACTTGTAATGTCTGCTCTTCACACCCTAATTCATGAGTAGAATTAATTAAATGACATTAGATCAATGCTGAAATATTTATCATTCGGATTGGAAAATAGGATCCAATTAACACAGCAGTGTAAAAAGGGAATAAACACACACATTGAAAGCACTGAATATTTGGTGTCATTTCGGTTTTTCTCTGGTAGATAGATATTCATTTCAGTGTTACTGTAAAGCCAAATGTCAAATGCATTCTACAAGTCTCGAATTCCAGTCCATTTGAAACATTAGCTCTAATCATTAATTAATTAATAATTAATATTTGACCACTTTAGTTGATTTTTAGGTTTCCCATGCATTATGTTTCAAACTAATACATTATTGATTTGTCACTTCCAAAATGCATATTTCAGCCGTATATGATTTAAAAATCAATGTATGACAGAGATAATGAATATATACACTGATGAGGCGTGTACATTTCAAGCTATTTATAAACTAAAAGTACTTTGGATATTTAGGTGTTTATTGAAGGATGTCGTCCGAAACTATAAGATGTCTATTTTGAGAAACAATCACCACATTTTGATTAGTGAAAATTATGAAGGGATTTTATTTAATAACATTGAAGATAAATATATATATATATATAACATAATACCTTGGTATTGCAAACTCAATTGATAAAAAGTCATCTCTGAAGGTATTAGGAAATTTGAAGGAATGCGTGAATGTGTTAGCTCTTTTCCGCAAAACTCCTGATTGGTTACGTTAACGGTCCAACAAGATGAAGTAGAATTACCAATTTGTAACCCATATGTCATGACTAGCTTAAATATTTAGCATTCTTTGATTAGTCTTGAATTTTGTCAAACTGTAATTCCTGACGAACAATATCTATTTTGGATAAATTATCGATCATATTTTGCCACTAAATTGAATCTTGTCCAACAGTTTATATTCCAAAAATATAAAGACTCTAATAATGTTCAATTGCCCTGTAGAGATGATATCATATTTTCATATATAGTAGATTAAAGAACGTATAGCTACGTATCATGAAAAATGCTTCGATTGTGTTTCGTGCTCATATTTCTCTACTGAACAATCGCATACCAGAAAAGAAATAAATGTATAGTTTTTAATTAAATAACTATCTGTTCCATGTCAACTGTAACCCAGCTAAAAATCAGTTTACTATTTTCAAAATGAGCATATTTAATGTGAAATTTTTGTGGTTAGAAATAAGCCAAACAACTTATGATTGCTCTTGTATATGCTTTTAACCGAATGCCTTCGTTTCAGGTAACAATATATCTAATCAAACTTTTCTTACACTATTTCTGCAGTGCCTATGCACCTCTGTTAGTGTCCTTGTGCTAACCTATCATACTTCAAAATATTCTCAATCAGCACATTGTGTTAGAGATCAATGTTTTGAAGTAAATATTGTGAATCTTTGTAGTCTTTCTGTGTTGAAAGAAAAGTTGTTAAATAAATGAATGACCATAGTCCAGATTGATGGTCCTATTGATCTAAAAAAAAAAATTGAAGTTAAATTTGAGAAGTATAACTGAGTTTTACACCTGTCAATCAATGGTCATTAGGTTATTGACCTCATTTGGCTTAAAATGTCCAATATCAGTGAACTGACCAATGCGATTTTACTTTGTTTTCTATACTCGTCCTCTATTGTCATCTTGCTGAATACTCTGTTGCAAAAATTCAACAATCTATCTTCCATCAATATTTGAAACAACAGTTTCTGCAGGTAATGAGTGAAGTTTGTTGCTAAGATTATGTGTTGTCATTCAGTTTTCTTTTTTTTTTGTCGTTTATGTTGTCAATGTTGTCATCATTTCTGATTCTGTTGTTGTGCTTTTTTGGCGTTTTCGACAAAGCGTTTGCTGGTCAGCCACAAGGGTGAATCTAATTTATTTAAAATGAAAATTTCCAGATTTAAAATACACTATGCCTCTTGATATATATGTGTTCGTCGGATAGTACCTAGTTTTTGAATTTGGATTTAGTAAAACAACAAGCACTTATTATGGCTAATCACATTGTGCCAAAGTTTCTATTTGCCCGGTTAGACATACATTTTGTCACATACCTTTATGCATGTTGTTTCTTGTTTTTGCATGATATATTTCATTATTATATTTCGTTCAATATTTGTGTTTTTTCACAAATTGTCAAAATATATTTTGACATTTTAGGATTGCTTGGTATTGTTTAACAGTCATGGTTACTAATTTTAGGATATTAGTTTTTCAAATTGATGTGCTAAATTTGCTTCAGTGTTGCCAATACAAGTTTACAGGAAGTCCCAAAAAAATGCTGTTCACCCTATATAACATACAAACTCCTAACAAATAACTAGTTACCGGTAAATGTTTCCAGAGGTTCAGGTGGATTGTGACCGATTTCCTTTTGTTATACTGTCTCAGCTGACTCTGGTATTTTATCCTTTGAAGCTTTATAATTAAATTCTATTTTTGAGTATAGTCTTTCTTCTCATGAGTAATTTTACACCATCATGATCAATTGTTTGATTTACTCCAGAAGCTGAGTTACCTATCAAGATATATGTAACTCCATTGTTCAATTGAAAGCATGTGGGGTGATATGTTTTTATCCAAGCATCTATTTTTGTCCACCGGAATACAAAGAATTGTTTTAGGCTGTTGAAACTATTACATGCTTCATTTTAAATAAATAAATTTGTGATTGCTTACTTTTACAGTCATTTAATGTTAGTTATTCAATACCAATGTTGTCTGTTACTTACTACTTGACCACATGTGCTATTTTTTTTAAAGCGTTGTATTGTTTTTGTCCCATTATCAACTGGTTGATAGCAGCGGTTGAGGTGTTGTATAACATTTTGGTAAAAATATCTGTAAAATTGGAAATAAAGCATGATTTTTATTTTATATTTAACATTTCAAATATTATTTAAATAAAATTTCCATCATTCATTCATCTGTATTATGAATATTATCGGGGAATTGGAATTGTACCCTCAACTCAAACAATAGATAATAAGAATAAAGCTTACATTTCATGAAGTATTCATGTACTTAGTGATGCTAGATAGACCATGACCATCAAGATGATCTAATTTTAACTCATTTTTTTAAATTTGAAATTATTCAACCTTTCGTTTTCTGAAGCATTTATTTACGCGCTTTCGTGCGAACATTCACACATGATCAAATAAACTAAACACATTATTTTGTCTCAATAGACGCACAACCCTCATTAGTGGTTCGAGAGCGTTGTCAAAATTTGGTCTGATATTTTCCAGGAATGCGTTTGGCATTTGCACTCTGCTTAAACTCTTTATAGCATATATTACAGTTTTCGACCTCTTGAGAATAATAGCATTTAAATGTTACTAAAATAATTTCCCATGTATGGGAAATAGATGGGTTATCTGAATAATGACAACGTTTAATGTGATAATACAAAGTTCAAGGCCGCTGTTTGGAGTTCATGTTTTGAAGTGTACATCTGCGTCTTTCTTTTTGCTCATTTGTTTGGAGTCATAATTTTGAAATATATATTTTGCTAATTTGCGTTTAATTTCCTTTTTTATTTTTGAAATTTTTGTTTTGATTTTGGTTTGTAGTGTTTCGTGTTGCAGTATTCTTTCAAATATTTTTACAAATATAGGCCAAGTAAGTTGTCAAATTGAATAAAATGTAGCCCATAATATGCCAGACTCTACTTTGCAGTCTCTTTTTGTTCCAATTTAAATGATTCACCAGTCATTTTAAGTAAAGGAACCCATTCCGAGAATAGTTTCATAACTTGGTATTAATGATTTCATTCATTTTTTTTTATCTTTACCTACTTCACTTTCTCCAAACGACAAAAGGCATCAAATTTTGCCACAGGCTAAAATACCTCATCATTTGCGGTAATAGGTAAAGGTCACAACCAATTATTAGCATTGATTTTATTTTTGGCTTATCTAGTCCAAAATGGTCTTGGTTGAGTTGGCCATAGATATACTTTATATTAGAGGCATGCTTCAATAATAATTCGTATTTGGCCATCTCTAAATTACATTCTACTAGACTGCCTACGTCTGAGTATTTTTATTTTTGGGATGACTTTTTCTTCAAAATGTGTCTGCATTTTATTCAAGTATTAGCATTAATTTCTATAATTTGCTTTCCCAGGTGGAGGTGGGAAGCGAAAAGGGAAGAGTAAAAAATGGAGAGAGATGTTGAAATTTCCACATATAAGTCAATGTGAAGAGCTGCGGAACATTATCGGTATTGCTGAATTCAAAGCATTTTCTCAAATTTATTCAAAATTTATTTTTGCCACCTCACATAATTCTAAATAAATCCCAGAAATAATTAGAAAAATGATTCTCATTTGTATAATGAAGCTTTATTTGTTCTAATATATGGACAATAATATGATTTTACTGCATAATAAATCAATCTCGAACAGATGATCAGTTACTCACTTAACTTTGAGGGTTGTCTCAACATAACATAGAATAATAAAAAGACATAATATAATTTGTACTACAGAAAAAAATTACACTAGTATCTGCGAACAACAGCCTATTGGAGCTCAACAGTTTCGAGACTTTTGTTCGACAAAGCCAAAGCTGAAAATTTGCATCGAATTACGGGAAATGATCGTAAGATTGTTTTAATCTATTCTAATCTTTTATGCAATTGGCAAGCTTTTCAAACTATTTTTAGCTCATCATTGCATAAGTGGCAGCGTAATCATCGTTGCCTGTTTGGATTTGATTAGATATTCAACTGAATAATAGGAAAACTAATTTATACTATATATTAGCATTAGATTATTGAATTAATTAAAATTAATTATGCATATGCTTTGACTGGGACTTGGATATTCATGATTTTTTCTTGTGTTATTTATCATGCACATCTTCTATTATTCAGAGGGAATATGAAATGTCTCTTGGAGATAAAAGGCTACCCACAGCACAATCCGTTTTTGATACATTTTTCAAGGACAGGGTATGAACTTTTATCAAATATTTATATTTGTGAATTCTGATCCAGAATACTATTTCATGCTTTAAATAATTCAACAGATACTCGTATTTTGAAAAGAATTCATTTCTGTGATATACAACTGAACTGTAAAGAAAAGTTGAGCAAAATTAGCAAATTTGAAAAAGTTTTAATATCAAACTTCAGATTCTTTTTTTTTATGGTATGCAACAGCCTTCATAGAATTTTCAGCTTTATATTTCAAGTTTTCACCTTTTCCTGGTATCATTATAATACAATATAGTATGGTGTTGGGCATGTAATAGCTGTACAGACCATTGAGGTAGGTTTTGTTCGTAGAAAAATTGTGTTTTTGCATTTTTTAGACTAACTCAGGCTTATCTCCGATTGTCAATGATGCAATGGTAACAAAATGCGAAGAGCGAATGAAAGGAACAACAGAAGGAGAAGAATTGGATCAGGATCTTTTCACAGAGTGTTCTCAGTAAGCTCAATATCTTGTGAAAAAATTTGTGGGGTATTCCAGGAAAAGATATTTTTAGATAATTACTCAAAAATTAAAAATGTTATGATTCGATTTTATCAAGCATGTTGATGTCGAATATTGCCCGTTTTGTCATTATGTTACTGTTGATTGGACTTCAAAATAATCCTAACATGATAATAATAGTACACTTATGTTCGCCAAATTTTAATTTGAAATACCCATTCGACCGTTTTCTGTCACCCTAATCCGGCTATTATTGGGGATTTATCTTGTTATCTGTAATTCTATGCCAAATATCTAGGTTTCCAACTCGTAGGATTAAAGTTAAAAAAACAAAAGTGGAGATAAATGAATTATGCAGTCTCATACCAACTGCTACTGTCAGATATATCATGATAGTGAGAAGGAAAATCTTGTTCATCAATATTTCGGTGTGATCATTCGGATTACGGCAGTGTACTGTGTAGGCTTTTGTTTTATCAGCTGTGAGTTTGGTGTAGCTCTGCTGATGGGAAGCAGGGAATGTAATGGAATATTGACAAAATATTTAAGGATGTAACATACACACAGATTTTCTCTCTCGATCAATATCTGTAAATCACACCTGCGAGAATTGGAAAATACATCTTTTTTGATATATATGATGCCAGTTATAATATGGTAATTGCACATTCAATACAATTTTTGATTATTCACAAACATATAAATATTTTAAAATAATGATCACATTATCTACGTAACGATAGCACGCTGGGTTCATTCATGTATTGTGTGAGCTATTATTATACCTATGTGTGCTATTGAACGACATATTATACCATCAGCCAGCATTTCTCTAACATTAGTGACGCAACCTATGCGTGTGACTAGGAATTTCACAAATGTCGTGAGCGAGTAATGCCATGACTTGTACACACTTCCTGGCTGTAGCTGTGGTGATCATAGAGTAACTCGGTTGTATAATTTCCTATGCGAGTGTCCCATTATCTCTTGTAACAGTTTAACTAAGTGCTGCTGAGTGCTTACTTTCACAATTCATAATGCTTCTCGTTGGCCAAATATGCATAGGCAAGTAAAAGGCATAACATTATCAGATTGATATAGATTAAATGGTTGTAGTCTATTTGTTGTATGCAACTCATACCGGATTGAAAATGCTCTGTCAGAACTTTCGATCAACTAAGCCGTGGCCTATTAGATCATTTTTAGTCATTGTTCAAATCAATCAACCCGATCCTGGGATCGGGTTTATTGGTAAACTGAAAGGTCATGCAAAATTTCGTGATGTGGCCACAAAACTATTGAATAAGTATGATTAACATCATTTATATTATACAAAAACCTACTCACAGTTGCTTTAGGAGTTTGCAATCTCAAAACTGACTGGTTAATTATTCTAAAAAGTAGAATTAATTTGAAGGAGACTGTATGTTCAAATTTAATTTTTATCTCAATCGATTTAAATTTTGACAGGTTGCATAATTTTATTAAAATAAGCTTGAAAAAGAAATATAATGATTGCATGCAGATGCGTTAAATATGTGAATACATGTTATTCATTTCATTTTGGCTTTAAAATTATACTTTGTTAATAATTTCTCACATAAATATTTTTTAATGTTCCAGATTTATATTCAGAGAATGTACAAATTCTATTACTTTTTGAAAATAATTTGAATCTGTAAAACAAATTAGATCAACCCTTTCATTTATTATTTTTGTAGGTTAGCTGTCAAGCTCTTTAGAGATGACCAAAAGACCAATAAAAATTCAGTGCTATTGGAAAGTTCGAAATATTTGACTTCTATCATTAATATGTAATTAGCATAAAACCCCTTGATGTAGGTGCCAGTTATCCTGAAAAGCAAACATATTGACAATTACATAGTATGGAATGGAATCTGTCATTTGAGCAATCAATAAGCAATATGGTATTTAATGACAGACTGACAGTATTGACTGTTCAATATCTTTTTTACTACTTTGTGAGCTATCAATTTCAGTGACTTAACCTGTGGCGGGTGCTCTTTTAGTTTCTTTAATTACACCATCAGTTTCTGAAATGGGTGATTGTCTAAATAAAGAATATAATTTGTGATTTATATCAGCATTCAATATAATATAGGCTATCTATTTTCAAGAGATTTCAGTTTTATCAATTCTGGCCATTATGAATTTTTATAACTCGTATAAAATAGAGGGTATCGTGCATGGGCATGCTTGATATACACATACGCATCATTTGGGTCAAGCTAAATGGTGTGCGATTGATATTAATTAGCATATTTCTAGATTAAGCTGCCTACTCATCATACAATAACAACAAAGTCATTCTTTTAAAAAGTCTTTGAAAAGATAATATTGTGAATATGTAGGTTCGATATCCGCAACCAAACATGAACCGAAGGTATTGTGAAATTCTGAAGAATAATTCAGCTTTGTTGGTTAATAACCTTTATTGATCTATTGATCGATACCATTATTGCTATTTTAAATCGCTCTTTCACTTAAATGTCACCCACATGCTCATTTCATACATTGATGATATAATGTCTGTGACAAAAAGGTGATGTGCTAATGACTATCAGATTATATGCTCTTGTATATACGAAAACGCAAAGCAATGTTGAATAGTACTGCAAACAAAACTTTTGACAATTATTTCTATTTTTGCCTGGCATTATAGCTATTCAGTTTTGCTGCAAAACATGTTGAGTGCCTGATGGTGTTATGTTACACAAAACTGCGCCGACTGTTCTGGTGGATCAATAATTTCTTTCTGTGATTGTGTAATGGTAGCCACTGTACAAATTTAGTTCAGATTCTAATCAATATGTTGTAATATCATGTCTCGCATATATGAATGAGAGGCATTTTGTACATTGATATTAGTCTATTGTTAGAACATTTGTCAACACAACTAATCATGCTTTATTGATGTTAAAATCAAAAAATTGTATTCAAAATAATTAGAAATAAAATATAAAAAGGGTTTGCTTGCGCTTCTCAGTTTTGTCATTCATGTATATAAAACTTTTCTTCGCTGTTTTAACTGGTTTTATATTTTTGATCGTTTTGTGTCTCAAATCAACATGGAAGTTATATACGATATAAAAAAGTTCACTATTTCACTAGGAAACCCATGTTTGACTTGCAGCTTCTAGTTGGGGGGAGCTCAGACATATTCTAACATATCTCAACATAACACAGCAAACATATCTCCACAGCAACACTGAAGCTTAACTGGAAATGCATTGATTCCATTTATGATACTTCAAATGGGGCCAAGACCATTTCTTATGTTGAATGTGGTAATGATCAAACTTGGCCATGCATTTTTATAATGTACTGTGATATGCAGAGAATGAATCAAACTGATTAAAACACAACTCTTTAATTGAGGTTTTTTCACATCAAAAAATTTCGAAAGCTAATTTTGCAATTTTTCTCTTGTGAAGACATATTGAATTTGATTTAACTATTCCAGCTTTTATCTAGTCTGAAGTTCTGAACCCAGAATTTATGTTTATCAATTTCCACATCATAAATTATAGGGAATAGGATAAATGCAGTTTACAATTATACAAAGTTGCAACAAAATTCCATATAATTTTTGCATGATATCATGATATAGAAAGTAGGTCATTGCTAAAACATGCCCTTTGTCAGATGGTTCAAATGATACCTTGCCACGTAAGGTAGACTTCAATTTGTTAATTTCCCATTCATTATACTAATGTTATAGGATTATCCTCTAGCAGTCAATGTGTAATTATCTTGTCAATTAATATTATGTGCATAATCTAAATTACCAATGAAGGGATTCCACGTTACGAATCTAAATGGTACTGGTGTAAAATGGATAATTATTACCTTATAGTGTGTATTATAGTAGAATGATATTGTAATTTAGATATCTGCTTACAAAAGCTTCTGTATATTCAAAGTCATATATACTAAGCTACTAAATAGTCACTATTGATATATATTATTTAAAGCATGTTTTTCTAGGACCAATGTTCCTGCTTCTTAAAATTTCATACAAATATCGCTATATGGGTGCAGTGCAGTCTGTAATTTATATTTATACAAATTGCTCAAGATATTTTGGGATAGGGTGACAGAAATATGAGTTTTGTCAAAAGCTTAACAATGGATCAATTTATTAAAATACTCAAAATTGGAATAAATTGTTTAGAAAAATAAAATATGCCGTACAAGATTGTTCTATTATTCGTAGCATTTCATGGAAAAGTTTGAATCTCAACTCACAAGTACCTAATACTTGGAACAATCATTTATATTTATCTCCAAATCTTTCGATACCCGCATATTTATTTTTAATCATGTCTATAGTATAAATAGCCTTTAAGTTTGTACGTAATCACTATGTAGTAAACTGATTTGGCTCTGTCGCAGTGATGCATTGTTTACCACCATTGTATGTCATGGTGGGATGCCATCAAAAGTATGCAAATGTTGGGTTCAAATGAATGTTTTAAATATTTCTGTCTAAATTCGTCATATAACAAGGCAAACTTAGATGGAACATTGGTATTTATTGGTATAGTTTGGTATTTTGATTGAAATTTATTCTGATATCAGTGACGTCCAACTGTTTATCAGTATGGGCCAGAACATAAAATTATGGTGCCGTCGAGGACGAACCATCAAAATATCAATAGCTATCATAACAATCTGATTGTTTTTTAAATTAGTGTTGCTTGATATTGCATTTCTTTATTACTGTCATAGCACTTTGGCAAATTATCCAAACCACATTTTGGTTGTGTTTAACAAAAAAGTATTAGATATCAGTATCACACATGGTATGCCTATATTCAGAAACCATTTATGCAACTTGACTGTTTGTTTCAGTTCTGATTTCATATCTTTTATCTCAAGGTAGAATAAGTCTAGTTCAGCAGTTGTATCCAAATAGTCATAATAATCTCCTGTTTTTGTGTTTTTAGAGCAATATCAAACTACCTCAGTGGAGAACCATTTACTGAGTTTACGGAAAGCATGTATTTTTCAAGATTTTTACAATGGAAATTTTTAGAAAGGTAACTTTTTTTGTCAGTTTTTGAGGCTATTTACCGATAGTTGTATGGAATTTGAACCAGGTTCATTCGAATATTATAGAAAAACAGGATTTTCAGTTACGCTGTATAAGTGTAATACAAAATGTAAAATAGTATCGTTGTTAGTGGTTTCATCATAAAATTTTAGTATATTCAAAACAGTATACACTCCAGTTCACATCACCTTCACCAGTGAATAGATTGAACAATAATCAAAACCTAATTTAAAATCCTGTTAATATGATATACATACAAAAGTGCAATATCATTCAACCTTGGGATTTATTCTTCAGGGAGAAAGTTTTTTTTGTTTAATCAAAGATATTTTATAACTTTATTCTATATTTGCAGACAACCAGTCACAAAAAATACTTTCCGGCAATATAGAGTCCTTGGAAAGGGCGGGTTCGGCGAGGTAGGTCCTTCTTATCTTTTTTTCTCCACAGTTTAAACAATGTTTATTTTTATAATCCTTTGGCTCTGACTTTGTTTGCTGTATGACGTTGATTTCATTCATCGTAATATTTTTATGTCATTTTACCATACCAAAATGACGCACGAACGGATATATTGTCGTGTAAACAAACAGAGTCTCGCTCAAACAATTTTGATTAGGGCTTATCTGATTTAACGCCTGCTATAATGATGTTTTAATACATTGATGGTGTCCAGATTTTTGACGAAATAATTTTGTTTTTACGTATATCAAACATAATAGCGTTAGAAGGGTAAATTTATTGATTAGTAGAAAATCATTTGTGGATATTTTTAAGTTTTCTAGTTTCGATCATCTTGTTGATAAAAACTGTCATTTCAACTGGGAAGTATTTATACTTGGTTCTTGTGCTCCCTTTATTATTTGACTATTTTTTTTCTAATATGATATGCAGACACATTGTGCCTTGGGGCCTTTATACTTCATCAACCTCCCATATTATCTTTAGCATAATTTAATATCTCGCCCTAATTAACTGTCACGTTTGATGGAAATTGTTCTGCTCGTCTGAATAGGGTAATTTCTCTTCGATTATCATTTGAGGGAATGGAAAGTTTTTTTCTTACTTATATAGGTCTGCGCTTGTCAAGTTCGAAGCACAGGAAAGATGTATGCATGCAAACGCTTGGAAAAGAAAAGGATAAAAAAGAGAAAGGGAGAAGCGATGGCATTAAATGAAAAACAAATCTTGGAATCGGTTAACAGTAGGTTTGTGGTAAGTATCGGATGCTTGCACATCTATCAATATGAGACAACTATACTTTAGGTGAATCATTTCTGATGCATCGTTTCCTTGGGATTTTTTGTATTTAATATACACATTTTTTGTATTTAATATACACGCGTTTCTCTTCCTGTGTGCTGGATCTATCAGTTTCAGCTTCTTCTGATCTTTTCTTTATCACACGATTAACTCTATTACTGGGATGTAACAAATTGGGCGCTCCAGAAGTGTGTGTACCAATAAACTAATTTTGTACCAATTTACCAATAACTAATTTTGTTCGCCTACTTTATATCAAGTTTTGTAAGGGGACTGAAGCCTATTGGCAGGGGGTATATTCACTTGGGTAACACAGATAGTCCCTGAACTCATATTAGAAGTAAAGTAAGGAAATTCGGAATAAAATTAGGACCTAATTCTAACCTGGTATACACACTACGGGAATACCACAAAATGTGTGATTTACTCTGGACCAGAAGGTTTCTGCACCTTAATACCGTAGTGCAACTCCATATACAAGTAACAAGTAGCCTAACTTTGCTTTGTTCAGAGGGAAAATGTCTGTTCTGATTTTAAGTTTTTTTTATTACAGGTCAGTTTGGGTTATGCATACGAGTCGAAAGATGCCTTAAATCTAGTTCTAACAATTATGAATGGAGGAGATCTCAAATTCCATATTCATAATATGGGCGAGCCAGGTGTCAATATGGAACGAACTATTTTCTACGCAGCAGAAATTACTTGTGGGCTTCAAGACTTACACAAAAATAGAATAGTTTACAGGTATGTTACATTTATTTCAGTTGGTAAAATGGGGTCATCTGTGAAAGAACTCCTTTTCGGTCTGTTGAATTTCTGTCAACGTGGATATTTTATCATAAATGTTACAAATCGTTTAAAAATTGCATTCGGAGGAATGTTACGTTTGACATAATATGATATTGCTGTTTTCCGAACTGGTAATCAATACCTTGTCTTTTTTTGTTACCACAATTTCTACATAAAAAAATAATCTTCAAATTTGAGAATTGGAAAAATTATAAAAAAGAATTCTCAAAATGAATTGATCAGAATAAAACATTATTATACATTTTGGAAAAAATGTTGGCACTCCTGGTTTTACATTTGTATTTTAAATTTGTAATTTTCCAGATAAAGTGTGAACATTGGACTATTGCTAACTAGGTTTATAATTGTCACTTTGTTATGATAATGATCCTGTGTATGAGAGTTTGAAATACTAACATGTCTTCATCACATAATAATTTGCCTATATGGTGTTGAAATTATCGCTATGAAAATCTGTCAAACTTTTGTATATATCTTATTTTAAAATTCCTCTTTTTGTTTCAGGGATTTGAAGCCTGAAAATATTCTATTAGACGATCACGGTATGAATTTTAACAATTTTGTTTTTTGCAACTCCTTTGATTTTCTTATTTCACATGTGCGTCATTCTATACCTTCCAAACAACAAATATTTTTATTTATTGTCATTTGAACACAAATATACATTAGGCTTGCACGTAATTGACAAAAATCAATTCCGTAATTACGGCCAAATCGATTACGTAATGACCCCGTAATTGCGATATTTTTTTCACACATTTAAACCTATCATAACAACCAATTGAATCCACTTCTATTCCGAATGGGACATTGAAGTTTGGTTTTCATATTCCCGGCAGTACTACACGCCGGCGACAGATGTTAAAGACAAATAATATCAAGGAGTGAATTCAAATTAATTTTATTCTGATTTTTATCTTTTGTTTTAGTTTTGATTTTCCTTTATCACCCAATTTCATGCGATCAATTTTATCATTACCAACACTGGTATACGGATATTTATGAAACGATAGTTGACTTTTTAAAATCGTATTAACGTATTAATGCGACTTTCGTATTAAATAAAAATTCCAGATTTATAATTTAATAATCAGACTAGTTATTTCACCGTTTTTTTACAACATCCGACTTTGTAATAGAAAATGGTTCTCGCGCAGAATAAACACGGGAAATCCCGTCGTTTCGTTTTCTCTGCCGTCTCAATCGATTTACCGATGCCGAAAAAACTACCTAAGTAAGTTGCGTTGGTTTATTACGCAATTTCTCTTCCGTCGTCATATTGCTGTTTGATAAGCGCGACATTAATTATCACGGCATTTACAAATAGACCATGTTTGATAAGTTGATCTCTCACATTCGTTAGTCATTTCACCCGAAGAAGTTGAAATCAGGTGTGTTGGCGTCAATCAGTCTCAACACAATTCTGTCCCTTATCTACGGTTAATATGTACTTTGGCCATGCTAGAGAAGTTGTTAATAGGTTAGTAAATGGCAACGCGTTATGCCTTCCCCACCTGCGTAACAAGAGAGAGAAAAACGGCTGCTAATACCGGAACTTCTTCTACTTATTAAACTTAATTTTTTACAATCAACGGAATTGACTGCTCTGAAGAGAGCTCGTTTCAATCGCGAAAGCGCTCGACCAATAATTACGACTTTACGTAATTCGTAACTTCGCTTCCGTAACTCGAAATAATTCCGTAAATCCGTAAATTACGTGCAAGCCTAATATACATACAATACAAGCTGTGATATTTTTGTTTTCAATTTATATTAAAACTAATTCACTCCCTACAGGTCACATACGAATTTCTGATCTTGGTCTAGCAATAAAAATTCCGTCAGGAGAGAAAATCCGTGGGCGCGTGGGAACTGTAGGCTACATGGGTAAGATTATTTGTTTGTTTTTCTTTATACATATTGAATATGTTTCATGTTGAGATTGCTTTTTTGCACTCCTTAATTCTACTCAGAACATAATTTCACATATGATACTTCCTTGATTTTGTACATATTTATACCATCTACATGCGTTCGAGCATATTCAATGTAAATGCGAATTCAACTAATTTTACTAACGAATCAATAAATTTCGTCATCTATATCCCAGAGAAATATTTTTTAAATAAAATAATTCTTTTGATATTGAGTTTGATTATTAAACTGGATTTAACCAACATCCCTGATTGAAATGGTTTATTGTGTCATAAAATAATTTTCAAATCTACGTAGACAGGGTTTGGTAAATTTGGGTAAATTTTTCATTTACTCAACCAAATAATAAAAGTGTGAGTTATTTCTGCCTGTTTTTACCGTTCTCAAAGGTGATTTGTTCAGTCTGCGAGTCTTGTTTTGTTATCATTATAAAATTCCAGTCGGATCATTGTGGTAAATCTACACGAAACAAAATGATTTCCTTCTATCTCACACACATATGTTCATTTGTCAAATTCTGATTGAAATATTTTATTCGGCTGCTAGAAATTATTCCCAAAGCCTAATCCACTGGTGGTTACTGCCGAAGTGATGCACTCGACATCAATGACCAATGTTGAACTGGTGTTACCTATATAAGTTATTGTTAATAAGAAATTGGTCTTCATCAAGTTATGTTCATTAATCACTAACAAATTTAGACTCTGGTAAATAGGTCAACTTTAGATATTTTTAGCCATTTATTATTGAAATATTTTTGCCATCCTGAATCTAGTAGTTTCGATTCTGTTCTTTTTTAAAGTTTTTACAGACTGCTTTATTTATTGTGTATGTTGTTAGAAATTGAATGATAAATATCAGTAGTAATAGCAATATAGTTCACAGTGTCATTGTTCGAGTGAAATCAGAATTATTCTATTTACATGAATCATTGTACGAAAGAGGTCAAATGTGATTCAAATTTTTAACCCTTCTTCACCTGCTTTAGTGAGGGCTTGATTGGTGGAAGATAACCTTTCACAGTAATGTTGCGTTGTCTTTATATCTGCAAAACAGTTGCCGAATGGGCCATGTTCGAATGATATGCACAGTGAAACTATTCAAATCTCTATATCATTTGCATGAAATTTATAAACTGATATCTGCAAATGTCAAACCACATAGTAATGAAAAATGTTATCATTTACGTAATTTGGTGTGGGGGAATGATTATCCAGATACAAATGTTTTGTGAAACATTTTTGGTTTAGAAATTTAATTAAAAAAATATAATTTAATAAATTGAGGATTCATTAATAACTGTTTTGACAGAATTTTAATATTATTTGATGGTGAGGTCAATGATGACGTGTGTACATACTACCTACTTAACCTTACTAATGTATATTGGGTGTTTTCGGAATGTACTTGAAATAAAATTTCAATATATTATGTCTGTAATCCTAAATTTGTTAAAATTTCAAAATTAAAGACGAGCCCCTTGTAATTTTTTTAATGATTCCCGGTCTTGTGCACTAAAACAAAACATTAAAAGATCACAACAAAAAATTAATGGGTCGTATAGTGAAGCGAACAAAAGAATATAAAGCACTACTCTAATGACATGTGTGACATCCAGTCTGTTTCAATATTTAGTAAACGTGCAAAAGAGCAGTGCCAGCTACAGCTCTGCAGTTAGTAAACTTGTGTTGGCATGAATTGAACTTTCTCTGTGATATCACAGGCCCACAGCTGTTCTAGACCAAAATTACCCCAGAATGATTCTGCCTATGAGATATTTCATAAGCATAACATTATTAAATTGATAGATCATTTTACGCTACTCTACCACATATTCAATATTATATTTTGAATATCCTTATATCAAATGACGCCACGTTGAGTGGAACTGCTACATGTGTTTTCATGTTTATTATTGAGTGTGAAAAAAATAATCCTGAATATTGTAAAATTATGAAGCTGTGGTCTTTCATTTTTTAAAGATTATATTGATATATTATTGATTCATCCGAGACTCGTGGACCAATCACATGATTTTTTTTATGTTTATTTGGGTGATAGTTAAATTCCAATGCCTTGGAAGTACATTCACCTAAGTTCATTTTTATGGTTTATATTTCTTCGTCAGCCGTATGGTTTTGTCAATAATAGGGAAGACTGTCTCATGAATTATATATTAGTCAGATGACGTTTCATTTCTCGTCATAAAACCACAGTGCCAAAAAAAGGTTTAGTATTACAGGTCAAACTTGGGCTAGAGAAGACATTTATTTCCTTGTTTATCTATTCAATACAAATCTCAATGTCAATGTTATTAAAACAAATAATCCTGAATTTTAATCAGTTTAATTTAATAAATGAGGTAAATTTATTCAACACTTGAACTTGTTGCTTGTGTATGATTGTACATGAAAGTTTCAGTAATCTTGGACGCTTTGCTCAAATATGTTATCTCTAGAAGAGTGATTCCCCAACTTGGCATAATCATCCCTAAAGGGGTAATTTATCATTTTCAAGGGGGTTATTCATACATTCACTCACAGTCTCAACAATTTTTTTCTTTTTTTATGATTGACATATATCACTCACAGTCTCAACAATTTTTTTCTTTTTTCATGATTGACATATATATATATATATGAGACTCTATTTAATAATACAGAAGATATTAAATAATAAAATTGATAATACTTTTAATGGGACCCATGTGCATTGCATATTATCACACAAAATATCCGGATCTTGGCTCTATTTCGGTGATGCTGGGCTGTAGTACTGGTTCAAAATTTTCCAAATTTGGTTGATATTTTGTTTTGACATAAATTAGTGTCAAAAAAGATTTTATCGCGACCCACTGGGGGCTGGATGATACCCCCAGTTTGAAGATCCCTTCTTTAGTTTATAAATTCTTATGTTATGGTTGCTAATAATTTGACATATTGAGGGATTTTATTTGTATGAGAGGGGTAATTTGGCAATTCCATTTGGTGGTAATATTAAAAAGTTGGAAAAGCACTTCTGTAGAATATATCATAAATGGCCTGGGTTCATGTTTTAGGCAGTCGCTGCTGTCTGAATTGAACATAGTTTAAATTTTCCTCTCATTGTATATTTCAGCACCCGAAGTGGTGAAAAATGAAAAATATGAAATGAGCCCAGACTGGTGGGGGTTAGGATGTATAATCTATGAAATGATCTCGGGACAATCACCTTTTCGACAAAGAAAAGAAAAAGTCAAGCGTGAGGAAGTCGATCGTCGAGTCAAAGAAGACACTGAAGTATACACAGATAAATTTCCTGAAGACGCTAGGTCAATATGTTCAATGGTAAGTTTGGGAGTAAATATTGTTTCTGGTCTTTTTGTTAAAACAGGTAGTTGAAAAAAGTATAATATGAATATAATATAAATAAATTTTGTGAATTTTTGGCTTCGATGGTATACTTGTTTCTTATTTTAGTTTATATGAATAAAAAAACTGAAACACCTATTATTTTTTAAATTTTGTTCCTATGCAGCTTTTAAAGAAGGACATCAGTGAACGATTAGGTTGTAGGAATACAAGCTGCGCTGAAGATGTGAAAGTTCATCCATTTTTCCGTAACATCAATTTCAAGAGGTTAGAAGCTGGAGCACAACCATTCGGAAATCCACCATTCACAAAAGTACCCTTCGAACCAGATGTAAGTAATTTTTTCATATTTTCTACAATTCAATATCACATTCTTATCGTGATAGTAGTTGATTCGAATGCCCTGTTTCCTATTGTTTTTATATCAAAGAACTTACTGATTGTATGGTATAACAGTGAAAAATTAATATGCTAACGCAGGGGCGCACAATCTGCATCAGTGAGCCCACATGCGTCCGGCGAAAAAGGAATCTGCGGACGTGCTGATGTGTGTTTGAGTTCCAAAATAAGCACAAGGCAAGAATACCTACGACGGCATAAGTAAAAAAATCATATAGAAATTAGGTAATTTCATTGTGGCGGCATTGACCTTCTCGCCTATTCTTATAAATCTTTGTGGCATTACCATCTGGTATAGATCTCCCAGAAAGGTATTGTTCTGGTAAGGGAATTCATGTTTGAGAGTGTTAGAGCATGGATGTTGCAAAAAATCAATTTGCTAATGGAAACAAAACATTAAAGGTTGTAAGCATTGCTCCATGTCGCTTATGTGATAAAGAATATTGTCAGTGTGATTGAATACGGCAATCGCGCGTGCTGAATCTAACACATGACTCTCATCGACATCATATGGACCTGCACACGGCTTTAGCGAAAAGCCGGAGACTTTAATTTCTTGATAAGCCTAATGCACAGCAACAGCCTACTGATTTCAACATTTTTGTAAATATAGAAAAAGTCATTTAAAAAGTGTTAGGCACAAGACTATGAGATACACCCAAAAAGAGCAATTCTTTAATTGAACATACCTAACTCATGAAAGATCTTAAAATCACTGCTGGCTGTAGTCATTTTACAGAAACGAATTGGGCCCGGCTATGGTACAAAGGTTGTAAACCTCCTTCCTAGCGAATAATAAAACATCTGATTTGGTTCAATGAATTCTTGAATAGTAATTTAATTTACATTTAATCAGCAAAATTGTTGGTACAACTTTTTATTTTATTTTATTTTCACTCAAGTAAATGATGGATTTGCAGAATTTCCTTTTTTCAATTATTTTTTTATATTGCAAAATTATTACATATCCAGTTGAACTGTAAATATGTACATTATACGTCCGTAAAAATGAATAGCGAAAGTTTTTTTTTATTGGAAACAATAAATTTCTTGCAAATTGCTGTACACACGTAGTTTGATGTTTTCAACCAATCGAAGCAAGAAATAAATTTCATGCCAAATTGAACTCAAATTTTTGTATGTATGTATGTATTTTTATCCATAATATTTCATTTAAATTTTAATATACATGAAGCAAACAATTTGTTTGAATGGTTATTTTAACTGTTGTATGGAAAATCTTGTTGATATTCCACCCGTCCCTGTTCAGATTGATCAAAAATATATTTCACTCTGTCAAAAATCCAAACCATGTGCTGTTGTGCTTTTTATATTATACTATTTCTTGATGTTCGTGAGAGATACATACAATGAAATACAATTGATATAATTTGACCTTTGATGCGGTAAATCTGGGAATGAAATATTTAGTGTGACCAATGTGGATGTTGAATACAAACAGTCTTCTGAGAAAAGAATAAATTATTAATATTAACTCTATAATCGTATTTATTCTGGTCTACAGGTTCTCAGTGATTTTCCCATTTCTATTCAAAATGCCTCGACATACCAAGACAAAAAATTTATAATTGTAAAAGTTTTGATTAGTGAACTGCAAATGATAATATTTTACAAAATAAATTGTTAATTTTTATTTTATTT